GCTAAAACTTGAGATTTGGCGGCGGGGCGTCCTTTGAACACAACGTCATGCTCGCTTAATTCGATTGCCCATTTGGACAGTCGACCCGATTGGTTGGTGTTTTGCATGACTGTCCGCAGTGGATAGTTTGTTAGAGCTTCGACCGTGTGGGATTGGAAATATGGTCGGAGTTTGCGTGCGGAGGTGATGACCGCGAGGGCCATCTTTTCAAGAGTCGGATAGCGCATCTCGGGTTCGGTCATACGCTTACTGGTATAGAATATCGGCTTTTGTTCTCCGCGATCGTCCTTGATTAGAACACTGCTAACTGCGGTTGTGGATACGGCGATGTAGAGGGAGAGGATATCACCGGACTCTGGTTTCGAAAGTACCGGGGGCGTGGTGAGGTACTGTTTCAGCTGTGCGAACGCTGCTTCGCAGTTCTCGTCCCAGATGAAACGCTTGTTCCCTCGAAGGAGTTCGTAGAACGGAAGGCATTTATCTGTTGATCGGGATATGAACCTATTTAAGGCTGCAATACGGCCGGTTAGACGTTGGACTTCGCGGCTGTTTCTTGGGCTGGGAAGGTCGAGAATTGCCGAGATCTGCTTTGGGTTGGCTTCGATTCCTCTTTGTGTCACGATGTATCCGAGGAATTNGGTTAGACGTTGGACTTCGCGGCTGTTTCTTGGGCTGGGAAGGTCGAGAATTGCCGAGATCTGCTTTGGGTTGGCTTCGATTCCTCTTTGTGTCACGATGTATCCGAGGAATTCGCCAGAGGTAACCCCGAATGTGCACTTTGCCGGGTTTAATTTCATGCCGTACTCGTTTAAGGTGCGGAAACATGCCGCGAGGTGCCCCGGGTGATCGGCTGCGCGGAACGATTTCACCAGCATGTCGTCAATATAGACATCCATTGTGCGGCCGAGGTCGTCCGCGAACATTTTGTTGACGAGACGCTGGTAGGTCGCGCCCGCGTTCTTTAGTCCGAAAGGCATGACCTTATAGCAGTATGTTCCTCTGTCTGTAATGAATGCGGTTTTCTCTCGGTCGTCGGGATGCATGGAGATTTGATTGTAACCTGAGAATGCGTCCATGAATGTTAACAGTTCGTTTCCGGCAGTCGATTCAACTAGGCGATCGATGTGGGGAAGTGGGAAACTGTCCTTCGGGCAGGCCTTATTGAGGTCGGTGAAATCGACGCAGACACGCCATTTGCCGTTCTTCTTTTTGACGACGACCGGGTTGGCTAACCACTCGGGGTACCGAACTTCCGTAATGGAGCCGGCTGCGAGTAGCCGTTCGACCTCGTCATTTACCGCCTTAGATCGTTCGGGTCCCAGTTTTCGCCTCTTCTGCCTGATAGGTTTAAAAGTTGGGTCGACGTTCAGCTGGTGTGTGGTGATTGAGGGGTCGATCCCCTTCATATCTGACGTCTCCCAAGCAAAGCTCGACTGATTGGTTCGCAAGAATTCGACGATATCTCGCTTCATTGCATCCGGTAGGTATGCGCCTACCCGAACCACCTTACTCGGATCGCTGTCATCAAGCGGAACTTCCTGGATCTCCTCTTTCTGGGGATAGATTTTGTGTATTGGTTTGGCGGTTACATTATTTACTCGGCGTGAACTTTGCTTGATGTTTGCTACGAGCAACGCGCGAGCTGCTTCCTGATCGCCGCGAAGCGTGCGGATGCTGCCGTCGTTGCCTGGGAACTTGACGCACTGATGGTAGGTGGATGAGATCGCTTTCATCGAATGCAGCCAAGGCGTTCCGAGTATCACATGATACGGGGCACTCGTACCGATTATAGAGAATTTGACAGTTCGCGCTATTCCCCCGGCATACACCGGAAGACGAATAGTGCCGAGCATATCTTCGGATGCGCCGTTGAATCCGGTCAGGGAGCGAGTTGAGGGCTTGATTAGTCGGAGATCGACTCCCATCTTCTCGAGGGTGTTGTAGAAAATTAAGTCCACGGAACTACCCGTGTCAATGAGGACTTTAGTTACTTCGCAGTCGGCGATCCCTACCTCGATTAACAGTGGATCGTTGTGAGGCATGTGTACCCCGCGGGCATCTTCGGCGGAGAACGTGATTCGAGGCTCGTCTGAGGGCTGCACATGCCGGCCTCCGGAGGATTTCGCGCATTTGTGGTCGGTTTGTACGGAACGTACTGACTCATCGTAAGGCGGTGATCCTCCCATGATAAAATTTAGCCGAGTGCTTGCTCCCGAATGCGGATTGGACTTGGCGAGGGATTTAATCGTATCTAAATGCTTGCGTAGATCAAGTTGCTTCGATTGGTTAAGCGTTTCCCGGAGATCTTTCTTAGCGGAGTTGAGTTTATCCCGGAGGTCGACAGCTTTCGCTTCTGGTGAGATTCGGCGGGTTTTGCAACGATTTATGGTATCTCGGAGATCGTGGGAGACATCCGGCGTGCGGGTCAGGCGTCGCGTGGTAAGGAGCGTACGTAAGTCGCGGGATTCGTTCTCGTCGTCGGATGATGACTCGGGGCCGGTGAGTATGACCTGGATCCTCTTCCTATTTTTTGGTTGTTCCTCCTCCGGGGGCGGTTCGTCGCGATCACGGGGCTCGGTTTTTTCCTCAGGTTTTGATGCGTCTTCTTTTGCCTTGCTAGGCGTGCCGGATGGTTTCTGCCCTCTTTTGTCCTTGTTCTTGCTCCAGCTATTATTTCCTTTCGGACGCGGCTTCGGAGGATCTGTTGGGATTTCACCACGGGAGTATTTTCCGAACAATATCTCCTTGAGCTGCTTGCAATCCTTCGAGTCGTGCGCCCTGGATTTGTGGTAGGAGCAATATGGTTCGCGCTCGTCGGTGTCAGGTTTTTGGGACGTTGGTTCGCCCGATGCATCGTCCTCCTTTCGGTTATAGTAATTCCATCCTTTGGCGCGAACTACAACCGTCGAGTCGGAGATGGCGTCCTCGTCTACCATGTAGACGAAACTTTTCTTCTTGGACTGTTTTTCGTCCGCCGAGTGTTGTCTCGGCTCCTGCTTTGAATCGGAGGTCTTGCTCGGTGCAGGTTTACTCGCGTGTTGTTTACTTATCATCGCCTTGGTGTCTTCTTCCATTCGGATGAAATTGTTCGAACGTGCGATGGCGTCTTGGAGTGAAGTGTTGGGTTGCGATAGAGGTATTCTCGGAATTTTGAGTGGATGTAAAGCGTGTTTTTCAGGGCGTCCACTGCGATGTTGTCGGGGACGTCTACCTTGGACACGACTTCCTTGAATTTCTCCATGAAGTCTCTCAGGGTCTGACCGTGCATCTGGGACAGCTTCCACAGATCGGAGGCGGTGGCTTTCTGGTTAGTGAACATGATGTAATGCTTCAAGAAGGCCGTAGAGAGGTCGCGAAAAGTGTCAATGGAGTTTTCCGGCAGGCGCGAGAACCAGTTCAGCGCGGCTCCTTCGAGACTCTCAACGAACCGCTGGCAAAAGCCGGCGTCTCGTTCGGCGTCGGTGAAGTTCGCTCGACCCATGGCGATGTTGAATGCTGTCATATGCTCCGATGGATCGTCAGTGCCGCCGAAAGTAGGCAGGCGGATTTTCTCCGTGATTCGTAGCCGAACGTCGGTAATGCGACGAGTGAAGGGTGTACGGAGGGCGGTCGCGAGAACTTTATCTATCTGTGGGGCCGCACTCGTCACGTGGTGAATCTGAGAGTGAATCTCCTGTAGAGCGAGTTTTAGCTCGGCGATCTCCCGAATGGTTCGCAGATCTGGGTTGTCAGCTGGTTGAGCGGTGTCAACCGGTGTGTCAGTCGGCTGGATGGGTTGGTTCGCCGGAGTAGGAGTAGGGTTTGTGTTGAAGAGGAATCGGCGAGCCGTGGAGAGATTTCCGTCTGGGTTTGCGAGTGCGGCGGCGATGGCCGCAAGGTGCTCGTTAGTCGTTTTTTGAACCTCTTCTTGGTGAGCAAGGCGAGCCAAGACGGAATCCATGAGGGTTTCAGGGTTCTGAGCCGGTGGCGTTCCCTCCGTCTGCTCGTCGGCGGGAGGGGTTTCTTCGTTCATTCTTTTTACCACACTACTTTGTTATGCCCCACGGTGGGCGCCAACTGTTTGTACCGAGTTCGGTCGTGTATCAGTGAAATGAGTGACGGGACTCGTCGGTGGGTTATTACAAAGGTGCGAATCTAAATGAACCGGGTGAATAGGTTTTATTTATAAACGGGGAGAGTACAGAAAGAATCCCGGCGACCGGAAGCCGTGCCGAGATTCGGGTTTAATCGGAAAAGACAACGANACAACGAAATAAATCTAGCTACTTGCTCTAGTCTATGCCGCCGTCTCTGTCTCTAATTTCGGATCCTCTTCTTGTGTTGCCTCTCTCCCCCTTTATAGCTCGAGCTCTTCGGTCTTAACCTAGGTCGCTCTCGGTTCATGGGCCTCCAGTATTGGGCCTGTCGTCGGCTCAATAATCCGCTTTCGTACTCGTACGGAAGTCACTCGGTTTTGACTTCAGTTGTTGCCGGGCCGAGTGTGATTTCTCGTGGGCCTTGAAGGGCAGGTACGGCCCACCTCCTACAAAACCCCAAATACTCTGACCTAGTTTTGTAACAATTTTGGCTACTTAATAACATAATACTCTTGTAAAGAGACCCAAAATGGGTGTACAATGTTATAAGCTATATACCGGTGTTTCTATATGGATTGGATTTGGAAACTAAAAATACATGTTGGCTAAATAGATTATTTTTTTTTTTATAAAATTAAATAAATAACATGCACACAATAGTGCGAAAACTCCCAAAATCTTTGGGGTTATCATATGAGGATATTAGTAGTCAAGTAGTTGAACTGTTAATGGGCCATCTTTGAGCTTAAGTCCCATTTGTGTTAAAGCTAGGGAAGCCCAATAGGTGTGTGGGCCTTAGATACAGCCATCTCAAACCGCCATGTACCCTCTAAACCTTCTGGAGCGTGATTTAGCTGACAAAACCCTAATTTGTTGGATCTGCTACGGAGATTTTTTTTGGAGCCGAGTTCTCTTCGAGCCAACATGAGGTAGGGTTCTTGGCTTCGCATCGCCTCTTGATTGTATATGTCTTACTCAATCCAGATTTTTATTTCTAACATTCGGTTTTTGTTATCGTATTTTGCAGTAGGCCAATGGAAGAGGATACCAACAACGTAAGTGAAATCTCTTTTTACTGAATTTATCGATCTAATTTTATAAGCCCTTTTTGATCGGACACGAACAATGATTCGCTAGTGTTTATATGGTTCTGTATCTTTTTCTAGAGGTTATGCTAGAGATCAGATAACACAATTGTCTTGTTGGTTTTTATGTCGTAAGAGAGGGTCATGGAGCTTTAGCTGTGTGAATGTTGCTGGTTTTGATCTCTTCTACTTGATGTTTTTTAAAAAGGCAACCTTGTATTGAATCCGTTGTTGATTGATACTCTTTTAGTTTTTCTTGAATGTTGATATTATTTGTATGTACTTTGATTAGCAGGGAAAGACGGAAGAGGAGGAGTTCAACACGGGACCTCTTTCTGTTCTGATGATGAGTGTTAAGAACAACACTCAGGTGCTAATCAATTGCCGCAACAACAGGAAACTCCTTGGTCGTGTTAGAGCTTTTGACAGGCACTGCAACATGGTCCTTGAAAATGTTAGAGAAATGTGGACTGAGGTAATCTTCTTTTTTTTCTTTTCATGTAAATTGAATTTGTGGTGTCTTACATGGGGGTTTATATGGTTTCTTTTAGGTACCTAAAACTGGGAAAGGAAAGAAGAAAGCACTTCCTGTGAACAGAGATCGCTTCATCAGCAAGATGTTCCTCCGTGGTGACTCTGTCATTATCGTCCTCAGGAATCCCAAGTGAGAGGTTGAGAGAGAGAGAGATAGCTTGAGATGTCTGCTTGTAGTTGTTTCTTCTCATCAAACCTTAATGGTTGCATCAAAAGGAGATACATCTTTGAGTATGAATCTTAAAATCTAGTGTTGCCTTGTATTTTTCACTTGTGTTTCCCCCCCTCTCTAATGACTTAGATGCAGCGTTGAGCAGTGCCACTAAACTTTGTAATTGCAAAAGACGTAATGTTTTCTTTTGGATTAAACTAGACAAGTTGCAACACTGGTCTGAAGAGGGAGGAATTAGTAAAACTTGTCAAGCCTTGGATTTATCTATCATTCCATGTTCCATATCTTCAAATGATAATTCCCCATCTCCTCGTTAAACTCATATTGTTGCACTAAACAGATGAAACATCTTTGATTTCGAGTCTTGAGTTTGCTGTTGTCTTGTTGACTAAACACACAGCTTATGAGACTGAGTAATGCACTAAACTATGTAATTGCAAAAGATTGTAGTGAGGTCCATGAATATAGTAAAGGTCACCAAAGTCTTACTCTACGTTACACGAATATAATATCAAAATAGAAAAATCAAAAACAAAAATAATTTTAATAAACGAAGCTCTTGTAGCGGCAAGCAATGCCTTGCATTTTTGGGTATACACCATTAACCAACCGCAATGGCCGCTACTTTGCATCTCTGTTTGCTCAAGCTGAGGTTGTTTTGGTGGTGGTTGCAGTCGCGGAGGAGCCTTCCTTCTGGTCACCAAAGACACGTTGACGGAAGTCTTTGACCATGAGAGGGAGTCCCTGACGAAGAGAAACCTTTGGTTCCCATCCTAAAAGCTCTTTGGCCTTTGTGATGTCAGGCTTTCTCTTGTGAGGGTCATCCTCCGTGTTTGGTCTGAACTCTATCTTTGCGTTTGGATCAATCGTCTCTTGCACCACCTGCAACCAAACTCAAAGACATCAGAATCCACACCAAGTTTACTATCAAGAAATTAAAAAGGTTTATTATATACATGTATAGAAAGAGACCTTAGCAAGCTCGAGCATGGTGAATTCACCAGGATTACCGAGGTTAAATGGCCCGACGTGTTCTCCTTCCATCAGTCTCATCAAACCTTCAACCTTTATGCATCAAAGTAAATACAAATGAGACTCAGTACTACAAAATTAACAGCGAAAAGTTAACCAGGACAAAGGGGCAATAAAGCTCAGACCCCATTTGGTCCTTTGTCACATGATATTGAAACCCTCCCATCTCCATAAGATTGCTAAACTGGGGACCATTTTTCTGTCTCTCAGAGATTTGGGTCTCACGTTTAAAGCCTTTGTTGTTAGATCCCACAACAAAACTCACTAGTCTCTTACAATGACATGTGAGCTCACTTGACACTAATTAACTTTCCCTGTTTCTTTTACTCTCTCTCTCTCTCACTCTAAAGAACACCCTCTAAGCCAAAGAGTACTTCTTACTAAATAGAAAGAGAACCTAAAAGGTCTTATACTTCAAAAGCTTGAATATACACATGTGGTTTGATATAAACTTGCCGACCAATTTGTTTTTGTTTTTCCTCCTTTCCCACACAAAAGTAAGAATAAATCTTAAGTTGGACCAAAGAGATAACATAATAAAAGATATTGTCCTGGCAACTTGTAATACTATATTGAATCGTTCTTTGCGGGAGAAGAAGCAGAGGGCTTACCAGATCAGAAACAAACTGGAAACTTCGTGTTTGCTTCCCATCACCATAAACAGTCAAAGGTTCTTTCCTTAGTGCCTGTTCAATTATTTACCAATTGTTAGACTATCATTACTCTAATGATCCACTAACCATTCTTTAATCATATAATTTTGGGCCACTAGATTATTATTAACTAACCTGTGCAACGAAGTTGCTGACCACACGCCCATCATCTATACACATTCTTGGACCGTAGGTGTTGAAGATCCTAGCAATCCTGACCTGTGACCAGAACCAACAAGGTAAACACAAAGTTAGTCACTGAAACGTACTCCATCTCTTCTTTCTCATCAGCTACTACATAGAAACATAACTTGCTTGAAAGGGAGGGAAAAGGAAAAGGAAAAAAATAACCAACCTCAACATTGGCTCCACGGTGATAGTCCATGGCTAACGTCTCAGCCGTACGCTTTCCTTCATCGTAGCAACTACGAACACCTGTTCCAAACCATTACAGCCACAATTAGTCATCAATCAAAAGCACAAGTAACATGATTTCACCTCGTTTCAAGAAAAGTCAATAACAGTTTAAAGAACATGGAGTAGTAATTAAAGCACTATGACGGCCAAGAAAACCCATCAAAGGTAGTCACGTGTCGGTAAAAAAATGACTGAAGCAAAATCATTTAAAGGTCTGGAATTTGAAAGCAGGTTACTGAAATGTCAGGATAGCCGTCTAATGTAGTGACACGTATCAGAAGGATCCGTTTTTCATGGTTCAATGGTTTGACCGTACAGAAAATGGGGACCAGATCCGAAAGTAAAGCACATGAGGTGCACCACAGAACGTGAAAGAACAAAAATTCAAAAACCACAAAAGACAGAGACGCTCTAACGTCGTCGTGTCACGTTACCGTGGAACAGGGTTTCAGATTCCGATCGTAAATACAAAACAGAACACTCTAAAAAAAAGTCAAAACTTTATGAAGAAGGAAGCGTTTAGGGAATTACCGATGGGATTAACGTTGCCCCAGTAAGTCTCAACCTGAGGATGCTGGAGAGGATCACCGTAAACCTCACTAGTACTCGTCAGAAGAAACCTAGCACCGACTCTCTTCGCCAAACCAAGCATGTTCAACGTTCCAACCACATTCGTCTTGTAAACACACATCGAGTCAAAGAAACACAACCAAAAACATTCCCATGTCCAAAGACAATACTAAATTTAAAAATCTCCAAAAAAATAAAAAGGATATAATAGTCTTGACGGGATTAAACTTGTAATGAACCGGAGAAGCAGGGCAAGCCAAATGATAGATCTGATCCACCTCAAGTAGAATCGGCTCCACAACATCATGACGTATAAGTTCAAAATTAGGGTTACCGAAATGATGCATCACATTCTCTTTACTCCCCGTGAAGAAATTATCAACAACGATCACGGTGTCTCCTCTTTCAATCAACCGATCCACCAGATGAGATCCCACGAACCCCGCGCCACCTGTCACCACCACTCTCAGCCCTTTGCGTTTCAAACCGAGCGGGATCTTCCCGCCTGTTGACCCGATCCGGCTCATGTACTCGATGCTGGGCCTCCTCTGGGCCTGGAAGGCCGGAACGTACGAATCCTCGAAACCGGAGAGCGGATCCGAGTAGGAGATGGGTTTGGTGGAGGTAGGGAAGATCGTGAAGACCAGAGACGCGATTGCGATTCCGACGAGGACGAAGAGGAGTCTCTGTTCGCGGAGCATGTAACGCATCGGACGTGTTACGGAGAACCACGGTTTGGTAGGTCTCGGGTAGTACGCATCCGCGGCGGGTTGATCCGTCTCGTGTCGCCGGTTGATCAGCTCGCTCGCCATCTTTTCAGTGCTATTTCACCGAGTCGAACTCGCCGGGAACTGAGTCTACGTTGAAGGAGAGGAGAGAGTGAAAAGCGAATCAGGTTTGCTGTGTATTTAAGTAGCAAATGCGTTACAGATCAAGGCTGATTGTTTTCTTTATTTACGATAATGTCCTTTCGGTTAGTACTTTCGGTTAGGGAACGAATAAAATGGGGATTTTTATTTCTTTTCTTGGACTTTCCTTCAAAATCGGGCATTAATAAATATTGTTATTTAGTCCATTATTTGAAGAAACAAGCAAAAAAACATTTAATTATAATGTGATTCATGATGTTTTCTAAATCTCAAATTGCGAATAAAATGTAATTTAATGATGTGATAGGTTCGTTAGGTATGCTAATTGTCACGTAATCAAAGTCAATGCCAAACCCTAACTTAGCACTCAAAGCCATATATATTCCTAGGAACTTTGAGTGATTTCGACGTTCGTTTTTCTCTTTTACTTTTTTTTTTTCCTTTAGGTTATTCATAATCAACATGCATGTAGAATTAGTAATTTGCCAGCACAATTACAAAAACATAGCCTTAATTCAAATAAAAGCAAGCATGTCCTAAGTTAGTCACATTCATAACGTTTTTGACCGTAGTGGTTTGGGAAACGTGATATGTAATATACGAAAAGGTGTCTATGTGAGTTTTAAATGTGTTGTACCATAAATAAAATCAAACAGATTAGTACTAGGATTGTTTCCCTATTGTTTAAGTCATCTAAAAGAATAGTATGGGGTGATTCCAAAAAAAAAAAAAAAGAATGGTATGATATGGGAAAAAACTCCAATAACTTATAAAAAAAAATACTCCAATAACTTATAAAAACAATTCAATAACTTATTTAAAAAACGTCAACAACTTATTAAAAAACTCCAACAACTTCTAAAAAACTCCAATAACTTATAAAAACTACTCCAATAATTTATGAAAACAAATCCAGTAACATATATGATTATGCAAATCTACTCTAAATCAATAGAATCTTCGTTAAACTCTACAACAAATGTTAAAAAACTGAATGATCAAAAAATTCCATCAAAAATTTTTGTCAGAATTTTTCGACGAAATTCCGATGAATGTTAAAAATATGAACAGTTAAAAAATTCGGTCAGAACTTCATCAAAATGTTTTGACAAATTTTCGATGAATGCTGAAAATATAACTAATTTAAATTGCCGCCTAACAAATATATTATTTTCGTCGAGTTTGTGTAAGAATTTTGATTAAAATTTTTGACGACGAGACATTCATCGTTATTTCCTCATGAAGTTTCGACGAAATGGCGATGAAAATGCAATTATGTATTTAGTTAGTATCTTGTTGGACATTCATCAAAAACCGACGAAATTAATGTCCGTTAGAATATAACGTGTTTTCTTATAGTGGAAAGAGTCAATAAATTTTTTAACTAGGTATTCTTGTTTATTTTAAAAGCATTTCCTAACTATATAGTTGAAACATTTGATTTAATATAACAAATTATTTGATTAGTCAACGAAGAGTGTATACTTTGAAATATTTTCTTAGCTGTTTTGATGATATATGTGAAAATTATAGATACATATATTTGCAATTGTTAATCGGTCCTTAGAGCAATCTCCGTATTTGATAGACAGGAACATTTGAGATTGGAGGTGAAAATAAAGGAAACGTGCATGTATATTGAATAAAAACAACATCATTAGCTGTTTTGGGTTTAATTGGATTCATCCCCAAAATCCTACGTGAGTGGTGGGTGCAAATTAACATAAGTATTAGTTTTGTTTAGCTATTTAGGGTATTTCCAACTCAATTCTATTTTCTCCTCTATATATTTTTTTTTAAAATAGAGTAATTCTATGTTATTTTTATTTCAATGGTTCACTTTCATATAGAGTTACTCTATTTTCTACTCTATAATAGAGTAACTTTATTTTAGAGTGAACCACTGGAGCAAAAATCACTCTAAAATATAGTTATTCTATTTTTATGAGAATTATAAAAGAGAAAATATGTTTGGGCTAGAGATGGTCTTAGCAAGCAAAAAAAAAAAAACATAAACATTATTGCTTGCAACATGCATTGTTTTGGATGCGTTAGAGCACCCCCATCAAAGATACAAAAGAGGTTCATGAGCTCGGGTTCAGAGGTCCGAAAAGAAAAAGAAAATTAAAAAGGGCAATTTTCGGTGATCCGCTTCATTCGAGTGAACCCGTTTGATACGGGTTCAAGCCACACGTCATTCCCACATTCGTCTTGCCACAGACGCGTTGAAGAGGAGGAAAGAAGCATCTCGTTTATTCAATTCATTTGCTCCTCTCTCTGAAAAAATTAGGGTTTCGACAGCTCCGAGGCGATCCCAACTGCGACGCCGAAGACCAGATATTTTATCCATCTAATCGACGACGAACTGTCTCCTCCACGAGCTCAGGTGAGATTCTAGTAGAATTACAGTTAAATATATGCTTTTTGGGCTTCAAAGCAATCTCGGAGAATCGAAATCGATTTGGGGGTTGCGAGCTATCGTCATGGGGGTTCCTTTAATGGTTGTAAATCGTCATGTGGGTTCGATTTAGGATTCATTTATCGGGGATTCGTAATCGAGTTGGGGTTTCGAGTTAGGGTTCTTAAATCAATTTGGGGGTTTTGTTTGCATGTTCTAATAACTTCTTTCTCTGGTACAGATGGATCCCGCAGAAGAGAGAAGAGACACAAAGAGGCAAAAGGAGTACATCAACATGGTAGGATACATGGTCGATTTAGAATACGGGATTCCGAGAAGGTGACCGTGTAGTGAGAGAATCATTGACGAGGTTCGGGGGAAGGAGGAGTACGACACTCTTCTTGGGAAGCGCTTTTTCATCTGCATAAACTACAAGGTAATGTCACAAACGCATTTATGAATGTGAAATCTCTATAAATTGTGAAATTTCTATAAATAATGTTTTAACTGGATTGTTGTTGGGATCAAAATCGGTCACGACAGAATCAATGGCTAAAACTCCCGCAAAAAGCATACAAGAAACTATAGAATTTCTACGAAGATACGAAATTACGGAAAACTCGTATCAGAGTATGAAATAGTTAAAAAACCTTGGTGGGGTCAAAATCGGTTACGACGGAATCAATGACCAAAACTTTTCGCAAAGTTAAGAATAGGTTTTAGAAATACGAGAAAGCTTCGAGAAGAAATCTAAGGACTTTCCAAACAAAGGAATTCTGTAAACTTAGCAATCGTCATATTGGAAATCATCGGAAAACCGAATAATCCGCGATTGTCAAAATTGGCCAAATTAGCAAAACACGGCCATAACGTCCACACTCCCCAAAATGGGAAAGCTGTTATTAACGTCAAAATGATAACCTTGAGATCAACGTTTACTATTATTTCTCCTTATACTCTCCGAGAGGATCTCGGGTCGAGAAACAAGAAACGATCGAAACCGAACATCTGACCAGCTCGCCAACAGGCGAGCTGACCATTCTTGACCATCTCGTCTGTTAGCGAGCTGAACCAAACCATCCATGTCCCTCGACTCGATCGTACTCTGAACCGTGATTAGAACATCTTTCGTTTCGTCTCGATCCGTCTTACCATTGGAGTTTTACGATAAAAATCATAAAACACTTGTTTTCTCATAAAACTTTGAGTAAATCGTATAAAACGGCAACGGTTAAACGAAACACCAAATATTGCCAAACTATATGATTAAATTGAGATATTTTATAAAAACCGCTAAAGACATGTTTTCTTGTAAAACCTCGAGTAAATCCTATAAAACGGCAACAGTTAAACAAAAAAAAACGAACACTGCCAAACTATAAGATTAACTCGAGATGTTTTATAAAAACGGCATCGTATCAGGAAACGATCTCATCTAAAGTCATAAAACGGCTAAATCGCAAAACGGCTCGGAAAGTTCTAAAACGCGATAAAAGCCCACTCACGACTTTAGACAAGATCCAGCCCAAAGATATGATGACAGCTTACTCATTATTCGCAGGAGTGGGAAAATGTTAAGTTTGAAGATAAAACAGAAGTTTTCCGAAGAAAAATGGAAAGGTCGAGAAAATGGAAGATTTCCGATAAGCACAAATCGGGCGGAAAAGGAAAGACCAACCGCCTAGAGAAGAAGTATATAAGCAGCAGGTTGAGGACAAGAACAAGAGATGACTTCTTTGAGCTCTCATCGCAGAACTTTTACAACTTTTCTAGACTCAAAACTCTGTGCACTTAGAAACTTAGGTTTTATTATCGAAAAATTCGGTTTCTATGACTGGCACTCAATTACTAGACGAACTCGCCCAGGCAGTTCGATCTCTTGTTCAGCTCTATCAATTGAATTACGTTCGGCTTGATCCTCGAAAGAGGTACTTAAGCAGCCTTTCATAAGGTTCAGCCCGAAATCAATTAAAACCTTTTTTCTTATCTTTTTCGTCTTTTGTTATCGAGCTGTGACTCAACTAGGTTTAGGTTTTATGTTGCTACAACTAGGTATTTTGCTGACGACCCCTGAGGTCAAAGACTTTGTAATCTCTTGTAATGATCGCAACGTTCTTACGCAAATTCGAAATAAGATCTACTTTCTTTATAAATTCGTTTTATCATGTTTTCATATTTTCTGTATATATTTGGTTACTTATCGTTGGATTTCGCAGAGATCCGGATCCTCTGGAAAATTAGGGTTTTCCTAAGTTTCCTTATTTTACGGAAATCGACAGTGTGAATTTTGGTTCCCACAGTTTGGCGCTATAAGGAGGGGTGGGGGGTCGGATTATTCTAACTCATAGCCGCAAAACGCTTGATCAAAACAATGTCTGGATATATGAAAGACAAAGTCGCAGCTCGCAAAAACGCTGGTAAACAACTCCAGCAGCGACTACTCCTATAGCCAACGCTCACGCAAACGTTTAGTACTTAACAAAATCGAAAATCTAATTGCGACTTTTCGCCACAGGAGGAGAAACAAAACAAGCTCGTGATTTTTCTCTCTAATCACCATGGGCAACGATAAAATCTATCAAACCCCGTATTGTTTATCTT